TAGTTTTTTTTATTCTTGGAGGGTATCAAATAGTGGATTTAATTTAAGTTTTTTCATCGACTATAAAAAAACAAATCTGGTCACACTCGTAATACTCGCTCTAACTCAATCCTCCAATGATCAATGATGATCCTGATTGCACAAGGTATCTTACTTCTTAGAACCTACCCTCCTTTGGTAAACGAGGATGATGAACCAAACGATCTTACAATCGAACAAACGTTCCAAAATTCAGATCGAGAATCACCGTAGCTAGGCCCGTGTGGAGGAACTGAACTGCCGCGTGGTTCGATAGTAAGCCCATATCTAGGTGTAAAACTCTCGCTTCTGTCTAGTTGTCTTTCTCTTTATATGTGTTTTTTATGACACGTACAAATGCCAACTATTAAGAAAATGATCAGATCGAGTGGAGCTAGTTCAACTTGCTAATATTGATCAGGGTATTCGTGTCAAATCGCATGCGAGCATTAACACTCGAATATATGATATGTACGTATTATATATCATCACAAACTTGGGTTCAACTTGATCAAACAACTCAAATTGTTTCAAATGTGTTTATGAACGATCCTAGCTAGGGGGTATTCATTATGTATATATGACTACATATATTTATGTAGCTAACGGTTGATGAACGAAAACTAAGAAACAATATTTTTTTTGGGTAGAGATGAGAAGATCGATGGATAGAGTGGATTTGAAGATAAGGCTTTGAGGGTTTGGTTCTCTCTATCTTATGATATCATGCACGCGTGAAGAAGTAAAATTAGTTCAAATTGTTCATCGTAGAATTAGTTGGTCGGCCATGGTATGGATATACTTTTCTATATGAAGTATTTTAACAGCTACGTATACACATGCATATCCATTGTGTTTGTTTCCCCCTCTTTCGTAACAATGTAAAGGGTAGGTTGCAACTTACAAATTAAGTTAGTATTTGGTAGCAATTAGCTAGCAAAGATAGTTATAACATAGACATCACGTTGTCAATCTCATCATGTGAATCGGTATCGTTGAGCCGGAGGTTAGGAATGGAAGACTCACATGTTTCATACGGAACGACACCGACTCTGCCGATCAACCGAGAGGAACCTTCTTTTTGTATCGGCGAGTCCAATTTAAGCATATTTGTGGAGGGAAGAAACATGGTGATGAAAGGAGGGAAAGAAAAACGAGGAAAAAAGAAGCCACTTGACGAGTCGTCAATCAAATTTTCGGAGGGAGGAGAACATGACTACTTATCGTGTATCTACTTACAAGATTTATTAGAAAAGTTAATCTTATGTTGGTATTACCGCTACATAATCGATACTAATACCTTACCACATCAGCTTGAGAAATGGTTTTGACCCATTATAATGAGTCCTTGATATGAGATGACTCATTCGTAATAAATTTTGGGATGTGATATGTTGCTAAATTTTATTCGTTTAGACTTATGTGAAGAAATATTATATCAGTTTCGACTCCCAATCGAATGAATTGAAACCCTATCAAACGAGTCTAACCAAACCGCAAATATGTTCGATTTTGATTCTCGCATTCATTTTAATTCCATCTGTGGTACCATATCGATTCTAGTTCGAACCCGGACAAGGGTTCATGAGGGACAGTTTGGTCAATCTATGGCCAAAGGATGCATACATGGTGACCACCCACTAGGAAGAGAAGAGACACCATGCATGGATTTTGTCAGCCAAGTCAGAAGTCAAAGCCATATATGCCCATCCACTCTCCCTCAAAACCAAAACAAACACGCCACGTTTCTCTTCTTCTCACATAATATATTTTTCAACTCTAAACAAGAAATAAATAGCATATATGTGTTTTTCATGGCTTAAAAATAAACAAATATCACACGTGGATGTTTTAATCCATCACTTCACTTTCAATCAGTCACCATTTGCTCGATACCCACTCCTAGATTTCATTCAAAGCACGATCATGAATTATATTTTGAGAGAGGGCCCAAAAATATATTTGTGGGGAAAAGGAAAAGGAAAGCCACAACCAACCAATGAACAAATAGAGTGTAGCAACCATTTCATTCCTATATGTATAAATGATATGATGATCCATCACCTATATATATATACATATATATGTACATGAAAAAAATGAGAAAATCATAATACTAGTGTAGCAACTATATATGTATATAATAGTATGTGTTTATGTTGTATATAATAGTAGATATAGATGTTACCATGATGTGTATACATAGTAACCATACATACTACAAATGTCATTGTGTGTTGTTCTTTAACGTGTATATTATATACCAGCTGCGCTGAGATGTAATACTTGCGTCTCATACACGTGAAGTGTGAATCCAAAAGTTTAATTTGAGCTGGAGCATTAGTTAGACAAATGTAAATCGGTTTGAACTTAGGGTTAGATAAATAAGGAGCGACAAATCAACTCCTCGCCAAAAGTTGGTAAATAAACATTTTGGGAATGAAAAGATAAAGAGAGGATGATATGACTAATGAACTCAGCCTTTGGGGGAGAGATGAATGCTATCACTTTGAGGCAGTTACAAAAGAATAGCAAGAAGTTTTCACATAGTTTTAAAATTATGATCAATTCAAGTGAGTTTTAGAGAAAATGTAGACACGATATGTTGAGAATGACGCGAGATCGAGTGTGGTAGGATTGAATGAAGAATCTTAGTACTCTCCTTCATGGCACACGCATGACATATAATACCTGGCACCCCAAATAGGTTGAGACCTAATCGAGCAAATTAGTTCAAAGTCGTCATCCTGGCTATGACCGTTAAGACTCAAGCTTGCAAACTATTTAAAAGGTAAGAAATTCAGAGATACAAACTCATTCAGGTGGCGTACGACGTCTCTTTGATGATAAGGATGGTAAGTAAGGGACCTTATAGCTAAAAGCTCCAACAATGAATGCAAAAAAAGAACGTTCAATCTTGTACCTCAAATGATTCTCGTAGGTTTCATTATTCTATGATAATTTCGAACTCTAACATGATAACTCTTGGGAAGGAGAAGAAGACGATAAATCTTCATAAACATCTAGTTAATAAATAATAAATATGTTTCGATATTCCGTAAAGATTTGTTAAGATATAATGTACCCATATATTGGTTATTTGGTCCTCTAATGGTTAGTAAGTAGTAACACAAGGAAATGGACACATTAATTGACATAGTGATCGAAGTTTCCTCCTTTGACCAACGTTTTCACCGTACCCTTAATAAATTTCCAACTATGGTAAGTTTATTATTATTTTGCATTTAAGGACACATTTAGGATAATGTTCTAACTGTCAAATAGAATAACATGTTTCTCCCCTTTGTATAAAAATAACAGTAAAAAACCCATTTTTTCCTTTTAATTTTTATTACATTATTTTACCGTATGTGACATTGAACCTATAACGGAAAAGCAATTAAGTGGTAGTGTTCATATCGTGGAAAGGACACAATAATTAATTAATTGATTGATTTAAATAAAAAAATGAATGAATAAAGAAATGGGGTGCAAGTCCCATGTTGGTCGACCTTATCCTATTAGTGAAAGACAGAGATAAGCTTATAAGAGAAAAAGACCGACTTTCCTTTTATTATTTTGTTTTTTTAAGGGCAATGTCTATTTTTTACCCAAAGCTTTTTCAGATTCTTTTATTTCAACTAAACCTATAGAAATTTTATTTATTATCCAAACGTATTATAATTTATCAAAGTCTGGGCATTTCTTCTGTTACCGTTACTTATTTCGTCCACGTGAGAGGTGGGATTTTGTTTTGTTTTTTGATAATCTTTTTATTAAAAATAGTAAATAATGGTATTTTGACCGTCACGTAGGAAGTCAACTCATTATGGTCATACTTAGTCAGCATTACTAACAGAAAAGTTGACGGAGAGTTAACGTTTGGATAATTTTTAGGAATTCAATAGGTTTGGTTAAAATAAAAGAATCTGAAAAAGGTTTGGGTAAAAAATAGACATTGCCCTTTTTTTAAATTAAACATGGTGGTGGTGGTAGGGCAAATCAAGTTTGACTCAAAGAAATTCACTTTTTGGATAATATAGTTTAGAATGCTAGTTGTATTTTTCTTTCATCTAGTGATACTATTATAAGATATATTAAAAACCCATGTATTTCTACAATCACATAAATATACACATAAATTATATAACTACGAGTTTGAACGAATCACTCAAAAATATGAATCTAATCAATTTCCGAATTAGGGAAAAGTTTTTTTTATATCTAGTTCGGTGTTCAAATTTTGCTACTTAGAAAAAAAAAATTCATGTTGTTTGATATTATATTATCTCATTCGACTTAACCAGTTAGATAAATTATCTATGAGTTAAATATGTCTTCTTTCAATCATTTAAATTTTTTATCAGGCGAGCAAACTATTTATGATCGACTCTTTTTTATTTTTTAACTCAACGAATATTTAATGCATTTACCAGCAACATACTGCGGAATGTATATTCACCAACAAAGGGAAGATATATTTTTGGTGCTGAGAGCAGTGAAGGTTCACCGATTAAAACTTTGTAGTTTGTATTTTGCAAAACTCGTTATTCTTTTCTTTGTACATAGATAGATAACATTAGTATAAGTTTAGTTAGGTCACTTAACCTCCAATACAACTATACATATTATTCCTTTTGTTCATATTTTGTACTAATCTCCTCACCACTCCAAAATCACTTATCCATATGGATTAGGATTGAGTTTTAATGTTTTTGTCCTTGAGTTAACACAAGGAAAGTTCATCAACAACATTTTCTCAACAACATATATATGGAAACAAGCATCAACCCCTAATTTAAATTATTAACACTAAACCTTTTTTTTTGTTTATTCTCATTACCAACTTATCCTGATCATCATCATAATCACTTCATTGCCATAATACAAAATTAATTAAATTAATTATAAAAGACCGTTTTCTGTTCTTCCCATAAAACCCCTCTCTCTCTTTCATTTATATTTCACATTTTTTATAAAACCGCAAACCCACACAAAAATTTTCTCCCATTCTTCCTTTCCTTCATTTCTTCTTCCTCCTTTTCCTCTGTTCTTCATCTCTGATGCGATTTTTCAGCTAAAAGGAACCAGCTTTGGGTGGAAAACCAAAAAAAATGTCTCAGTCCTGCATAGAGTGTCTCAGTTTAATCTCAACCGACGATTTCCGGGTCATCAATCGCCGGCCTCCCGCCGCCATCAAGCTCCCTTCGATCCCCATCCAACAGCAGCAACAACAACAACCCAGATGCCCGCCTTCCCCGGCCGCCGCGCCTCCGCCGCCGGAGCGCCGGGTCGTGGTGGCGAACCACCTCCCCATCCGGGCCACGCCCGACCCGGACAGGCTGTCGACGGCGCCGTGGAGGTTCGAGCTCGACGAGGACTCCCTCTACCTCCAGCTCCGCGACGGGTTCTCGCCGGAAACAGAGGTCTGGTACGTCGGCTGCCTGAAGCCGGAAATCGACCCGAGGTATCACGAGGAGATTTCACAGACGCTGGCGGAGAAGTTCCGGTGCGTGCCCGTTTTCCTGCCGCCGGAGGTGCTCAACAATTTCTACCACGGTTTCTGTAAGCACTACCTCTGGCCCCTCTTTCACTATATGTTGCCCATCTCGCCGGCGCACGGCGGCGCCGCCCGATTCGACCGGAAGAATTGGCAGGCCTACGTCTCGGCGAACAAAATCTTCGCGCAGAGAGTGGTCGAGGTGCTGAACCCAGAAGAGGATTCGATTTGGATCCACGATTACCATCTCTTACTCCTCCCCACTTTTCTCAGGAAGAAGTATCACAGAGTGAAATTAGGGTTCTTTCTCCACAGCCCGTTTCCCTCTTCCGAAATCTACAGGACGATTCCCGTGAGGGAGGAGATCCTTCGGGCTTTGCTCAATTGCGATTTGGTAGGGTTTCATACTTTCGATTACGCTCGCCATTTCTTGTCCTGCTGTAGCAGAATGTTGGGTCTAGATTACGAATCGAAGAGAGGGTATATTGGATTGGAGTATTTTGGGCGAACTGTGAGTATCAAGATCTTGCCGGTGGGGATTCACATGGGCCAGCTGGAATCGATTCTCAAAGGCGGGGAAATCGTGGAGAAGGTGAAGGAGCTGAAGGAGAGGTTCAAGGGGAAGACTTTGATTGTCGGGGTTGACGATTTGGATATCTTCAAAGGGATCAGCCTCAAGTTTCTGGCATTGGGGAGGTTGCTGGAGCAGAATCCGGATTTGAGAGGCAAAGTGGTTCTGGTCCAGATTTGCAATCCGGCGAGGAGCAAAGGGAAGGATGTGCGAGAAGTGGAGGACGAGATCCAGTCGGTGGCGAATTCGGTGAATCGGAGGTTCGGGAGAGGACAAGATGGGTACAGTCCGATCGTGTTCATCAATGGCGGAGCTCTGACAACTCTGGAGAAAGCTGCTTACTATGCCGTGGCAGAATGCTGCGCGGTGAATTGCATCAGGGATGGTATGAATTTGGTTTCTTACAAGTACACTGTTTGTAGACAGGGGAGCCCTGTTCTGGACCAGATGGGTAATGATCACGATGTAGGCAAGGTTGAGAAGAAAAAGAGCGTCTTGATCGTCTCCGAGTTCATCGGGTGCTCGCCATCGCTGAGCGGGGCGATCAGGGTGAACCCGTGGAACATCGAGGCAGTGGCGAGCGCAATGTCTGATGCGATCACGATGAAGGACGAGGAGAAGAGGATGCGCCACGAGAAGCATTACAAGTACATCAGCTCCCACGATGTGGCCTACTGGGCGAGGAGCTTCGATCAGGACCTGGAGCGGTCCTGTCGAGATCACTACAACAAGAGGTACTGGGGTGTTGGATTCGGTCTCGGGTTCAGGATCGTCGCATTGGGTCCCAGCTTCAGGAAGCTCTCCATCGAGCCGATCGTGGCTGCCTACAAGAAGACTTCCACCTCCAGCAGGCTCATCCTGCTCGACTACGACGGTACAATGACCCCACAAGCATCCGTCGACAAGTCCCCCAGCGACGAGGTGATCACCGTCCTGAACCGCCTGTGCGATGACCCCAGGAACGTAGTGTTCATCGTCAGTGGGAGAGGCAAGGAGCCATTGAGCAAGTGGTTCTCCCGGTGCCCCAAATTGGGGATCTCTGCTGAGCATGGTTACTTCACTAGGTAAGTTGTTACAAGTGTAGTCACGTTTTTATTAGTGTCAGCAGACCTGATTACTTGATATCAGGTCTGTTGATCCACTTCGTATTAAGCTGGACTAGTCTCTCACTGACGATATGTTGCAGCTGGACGAGGGAATCATCATGGCAGGCATGCCTGGTGGTGATGGACAGCGACTGGAAGAAGATAGCCGAGCCTGTGATGGAGCTATACACGGAGACGACGGATGGATCGTTCATAGAGCACAAGGAGAGTGCACTGGTGTGGCATTATCAGGAGGCAGATGCTCATTTCGGGCAGAGCCAGGCCAAAGAACTGCTCGATCACCTCGAGAATGTGCTTGCCAATGAGCCTGTTGTTGTCAAGAGAGGCCAGCACATCGTTGAGGTCAAGCCCCAGGTAACATAACATGGTAGCAACTTAAAGCTTTCATCTTTTCAAGTTTCAACCGCACTTCACTTCAGCAGAAAGCAAGACATTCATAGTTGTTTTCATCTTTGTTTGTTCATAGGGAGTGAGCAAAGGCATAGTGGTATCGAACTTGGTCTCTACGATGCAAAGCGAGGGCAAGTCCCCCGACTTCCTGCTCTGCATTGGGGACGATCGATCCGACGAGGACATGTTCGAGTCGATTGCCAGACAAGTCGAGAACCCACAGTCTCCATCCATAGCCGAGGTGTTCGCCTGCACGGTGGGGCAGAAGCCAAGCATGGCCAAGTACTACCTCGACGACACTAGTGATGTGATCATGCTGCTTCAAGGGCTTGCTAATGCTTCAGCAGTAGAAAGACCACCACGAAATCAAGTTTAATTACAAAAGTAAAGGAAGCAAAAGGTAACCCCTTCTTGAAGTGCAAGTATAGAAGAGAAGAAAAAAAGGTTAGTGAGAGTTCAAATTAGGAGACAGAAACAAGACCCTGAAATGGTAGTAAAAAAGAAAGAAAGAAAAGGTGGAGACTTTGTACAGTTGTTGTCGATGATGATGATGATGATAGATTTACTGCAGAAGCTTACAGCATGTTGATTTCTTTTCCCCCACTGCTTTGTTGTTGCTTTTTTTTTTGGTGAAGGGTTTATAGTCAACAGTTCTCATATTTGACTGATTCATATACACTGATTCATTCATTGCAAGAACAGTTCCATTTCTTTTGAGAGGTGATTCTGCAGTTTGGTTAGGTTTTCAATCAGATAGGATAAACACCTGCCTTACTGCCCACTGCTACAAGACCAAAGGCGTTGCCTTGCATCGTCGAACTTCCTTCTTTCCTCTTGGCAATTGATTCAAAAGTTAGTGATGAGGAATGATACTTGGAGTTGGAGATTGGATGGGCTTCTTTGTGTCCTTGAGAGCCTGGCCGAGGCATTGTAGAAATGTTCATTTTCTTCATAGATTGAGCAGGATGGCCCAACAGCCTATTGCTCTATGAGTGATTTTGGGATGAACATGATGAACACGGGCTCCATCGATCTCCAACTGTCACTTGGTGGGGCGCCTGCAGGTTCTGAAGCTGCAGGCGGCACGTGGAGAACAAGAGTCAGTGGGCAGCCTCCCTGAAGTCCAAATGGTGAATTGAACGATGAGACAATCGATTCCGCAGCACTTTTGTACTCTTGTTTTGTCTTTCCCCACCACAAAAGGGATACTTACAAAAGGTTTAAGATTTCCGGCAAAAAGTACCAAAATATATAAACCAAGGACTAAGAAAGACGGAGTTGCTTATTGAGGCTTACACAATATATTCGGGAATTTACTCAGCCGAGCAGAAATTTTGGGAGTCATCACATATCTTGAGAGCTACATCGTTCTCAGACAAACATGCAACTAAATGCTATATATGATAGACTATCATCAGCTAACTGATTCTTATCTATTCTAAAATTCTAATTCAACGAAGCGAAACTAATGTGCTCTTTTCTATGTGTCACTGACCATTCACCAGTAATTAATCTTGGTTTCACTATTTACTTATCTGAGATGCAAAATACAAAAGAGTCTCGTTCCAATTGGTTCAACTCAAGAACTACATCAATGGCTCTTCTAAATTATCACCACAACCACCTTAATTAAGTGATCACCCTGGAATCAATTGGAAGCTTTCAAATGCAGTCTATACACCCAAGCACGTCTTGTTTGATAATTTAGTAATACCTTTCCAATGTGAGAAACGGAAAAACCATATCAAACTCAATACTTTCAGATTGCCGTGTTGTTAAATGATAGATATTAATGAATTTTGTGTGTATTTGCCTATTTGGTGTTCTAAATTATCAATAATCAATTAAATTTTAATATTGGGGACCAGTTTTGAGTGGCCTGCTGAAAGGAGGGAGCTGGAACAAAATTTTGCCTCGGACGACGAAGTTGACTAGCTGCAGTAGAAAAAGGAAGGAGAAAGATATTTCTTTTTAATTTAATTTTTCCAATTTCCTTGGACTTCTTCTCTGTTCCTTCTTCGTCCAAATCAGAATTTGGACATTCATTCCTTCCTCGAATCCCTTTTCCCTTCAGCACAGGGCAGCAGCCAGGGAGGGGCAAATAAGAAGAGGGGAGAAAACCCCCTTTCCAGGCAAGTTGGCTGCTTCACCAGCTAGCTCACTGCTGGAAACTGCGGGAAAAAGTGGTGAATTTTCATGGCGGGGGTTTAGTTCAGACGGAAGATCGAGAGAGGCTGGTTCATGGATTGATTAGGTCTGCAATGGAGTACAAGAAGGAAAAGCTCGTGAGGTTTGTTTACAGTTCTCTCTAATGGGTGGTTCTACGTTTCTTGTGTTTTTCCCTCTAGAATCCTTTGATGTTTAGCATTGTTCGAGTTTTCATGACTGTGGGAGTAATGGGTTAGGCCGTTTGGGTGAAAGTTTGGGAAAGTCGTCGGCTTTGGTCTTCAATTTTGGTGGGGTTGTGTAGATGCAGAAGAAGCACAGTTAGTGTACAAGTAAACAAATTGCTTTGTGAATCACGAAAGTCGGGAAGCCGTACTTGAACCGCTGAAATTTGGCAATCTGTCCATTGAAAATTTTCGATTGCTTCAGTTACTTTAAGCTACTTTAGCGTTATGTTGTGAAAGCTACTAGTTGAGTTTCAGAGTACTAACGTATCACCATTTAGAAGTACGAAGGAAAGAGTGGTTTGTTAATCCCTGAGGGTTTCGATTTGTTAGGTTTTATCCGGAGGGCAAGCAACATATTGGGATTTTTCCATGGGGCAAAGGTGATGCAATATACCCGGAAAATCCGGAGAAAGTCTCATCATCTTCATTGCTCATGACGGGGAGCAAAGGAGGGGGAAAGCTGCCAGAGACCTCGAAGATGGGAGGGGGAAGGGGGGCCAATGTCTTCTCGGAGGACTATCAACCGTGGCACCAGAAAATGCTGGATCCTGGCAGTGATATTGTGTTGAGATGGAACAGGATCTTCCTTGTATCATGCTTAGTTGCTCTCTTCATCGATCCGCTCTACTTTTATCTGCCTACCATAGGAGGGGACGGGAAGAGTTCTTCGTGTGTTAGCACGGATTACAACTTGAGAATCGTCATCACATTCTTCAGAAGTGTGGCAGATCTGTTCTATCTTCTGCATGTGGTGTTGAAATTCAGGACTGCTTATGTTGCCCCGAGCTCTCGTGTGTTTGGCAGGGGCGAGCTTGTCATGGATCCCAAGTTGATTGCCCAGAGGTACATTCGATCCGACTTTTTGATTGACCTCATTGCCACTCTGCCTCTCCCTCAGGTAAACTTGGATGATCTAGGATGTTTAGATAGTTGTTGTTGTGCAACCTTTTTCTAGATCCTCTTGCGATGAAGAACATCATCTGCTATTGGTTCTAGTATTGCTATTTTTAGCTTCTTCTACTGTACATCACTTCTCCAGTGAAAAGCTCACAATGAACCGAAATGTAATGCAGATAGTTGTCTGGTTCATCATCCCCGCAACTAGAAAGCCTCGAACTGATCATAACAACAATGCGCTTGCCCTGATCGTGTTGCTTCAGTATATCCCTAGATTATATCTCATCTTCCCACTCAGCTCCCAAATTATCAAGGCTACTGGTTTGGTCACTAGGACAGCTTGGGCAGGAGCTGCTTACAATCTTCTATTGTACATGCTGGCAAGCCATGTATGTCCTCTTGTCATTTTTTATTACCCAATTCTACACTTGATTTTTCGATTCTTGTTGATTGGATTGACCTCTTTTTTCAGGTTCTAGGAGCATCATGGTATTTGCTATCCATTGAGAGGCACACAACCTGCTGGAAAAGGATTTGTAGGAATGAAACTGCTCCTATCAAGTGTGAGCTCAATTACCTCGATTGCGATGCTTTCAACCACAACGATAGGATAACATGGGCAAAAAACACCACTGTGTTTCGAGATTGTGATCCGAGTAATGATATTCAGTTCCAATATGGGTTGTTTGGAAATGCTGTGACGAAAAAAGTTGTATCTACCAGTTTTGTGGATAAGTACTTCTATTGCTTGTGGTGGGGGTTACAGCAATTAAGGTACGTCTGGTTAACTCAGCACACTAAAAGAGACTTTTCCAGCCATTTTAGTGATTTTTAGAGATTGCTATGCTATATCTGAATGAACTATATTTAGATTGTGCTTAATCTTGTTTAGAGTTTCTTAGTTTGCATCTTTCGACAGTTATATATTTGGAATGTTATTTTTCACAGTTCATATGGCCAGAACTTGACAACAAGCACATTCATTGGGGAGACATCATTTGCTATACTGATATCAATCATGGGTCTCGTTCTTTTTGCCCATTTGATTGGCAATATGCAGGTATAGGAAAGGCACCATCTTTGCAATTTTTATGACATTATTCAAGACTTTTCTTTTCAATGGTTGAATGCTTAAATGGCCACTAGGCTATGGGATTTGTTACAAAATGGCCACTAAATTAAAAATCACAACAAAAAACTAACTAAAGTAAGTGACATTGTTATAGAACAATCATTCTGTTTCATTCCAACTCATCTGTTATTTCGGCCGAGTCATCGCCCCAGGAACCCACTTATCCAACCATTTCCAATTCAATGATGGGTTGCATCTTGACTTTGAGCTTTTGCTTGTGGTTTAGGATTGTAATGGAAATGGTTGAGTCGAGTGGCTACTGGCTAGTTTGTTATACATCATTTACTTTAGGCACCGCTCGTTAACATTTTTAGTTTACTGACCATACAGACCCCATAATATAGAGATCATTTAACCATTAACCCTTTCTTTTTCTCGGTTCAATTATTGTCATCTTTTGACTGTTGCTACTGCTGCTGTGCATTCCCTTGATGACTTCTAATGGAATATGTGTTTGTGTGTCACTTGCTAGACGTACCTTCAATCTCTTACAGTGAGACTCGAGGAATGGCGGCTCAAACGGAGGGACACAGAAGAGTGGATGAGACATCGCCAGCTGCCTGAAGACCTGAGGCACCGCGTTCGACGCTTTGTCCAATACAAGTGGATTGCAACTCGAGGCGTCCTTGAGGAAGATATTCTACGCGGCTTGCCTACTGATCTCCGGCGTGACATCCAGCGACACCTCTGCCTCGATCTTGTCCGACGTGTAAGATTGCTAACCGTTTTACAGTTCGCATAGAAAAATGCCTTGATTCAGTCCAGTTTCTGTGCCAGATAAAGCCATGCACACCTCTAAATTTTTGGCATGATGATTATACAACTTTCTATATCTGCTTGCAGGTTCCGTTCTTCTCGCAGATGGATGATCAGTTGCTTGATGCAATCTGCGAGCGCCTGGTTTCTTCCCTTAGCACGCAAGGCACCTACATTGTTCGGGAAGGCGATCCTGTGACGGAAATGCTGTTCATAATTCGGGGAAGTCTAGAGAGCTCCACGACTAATGGGGGAAGAACCGGGTTCTTCAACTCGATCATGCTCAAGCCTGGTGACTTCTGTGGTGAGGAGCTCCTCGCATGGGCCCTCCATCCCAAATCATCTCTCAACCTTCCTTCATCGACTCGAACAGTGAGATCACTCAACGAGGTTGAAGCATTTGCCTTACGAGCTGAAGATCTCAAGTTTGTGGCGAACCAGTTCAGGCGGCTGCATAGCAAGAAGCTGCAACACACATTTCGGTATCACTCGCATCACTGGAGGACATGGGCGGCATGCTTCATCCAGGCAGCTTGGCGTCGTCACAAGAAGAGGATGGTAGAACACAGTCTCACGATGTCGGAATCTTTCCAGCAAAGGGAACTTGAGATGATGATGGCGCAGGAAGAAGAGGAACGAAGCTCTAGTGCCTTGAGAGGGAAGCTCAACCTCGGAGCAACGATATTGGCTTCGAGATTCGCCGCGAATACTAGGAGAGGAGTGCAGCAGAAGATGAAGGATGTGGATATGGTGAAGCTACAGAAGCCAGAGGAGCCGGACTTCTCCGCAGAAGCTGACTAAGTAGGATCTATAACTCTCAATCAAGATGTCGATGTGGATAGCTATACGAATATAGTTTTTGCAGGATCTTACAGCGTATAAAAACAGATCAGATGGTGCTCCATTGCACCCTGCAGGGCTGAAAATGCTTCCCTAGATTGCAGAAGATAAAAGACTAGGAGCTCTTTGAAATCCTATGTTGTAATTGAAGCTGTGACTATTGATATGCCATTGACAACTTCTGTATGGCAGGCGACACTTACTAGAACAAGATTAGATTGATTTTTTTAGCTGTATAAGTTGAATGAATTCATTTTTTAAGGTTGTTTCTTTTTACCTTGGACGTTGGAACCTAGAAATACTGTAAAGTGTACTAAAGGAAAATCAAATTTGAGATCAGTATCTGCGCACTGCAGTCTACACCCCTGTTATAGAGCAAAACGACGACGTTCAGGGGGAGCAAAGAGAACAGGAAGCTGGAAGTGAAATACAGAGAACTTCTTTCTAGTTTTGAGGATGAAGATAATGTTGATAACGGTGGGACAAGCAACGCCTTGTCTCAATTTCAGACTTTCTCGTCTCAATCCGTCGCCAACACTTCGAACTTCCCTCCGGCGACACAACTTCTCCTTCCGGCGAAATCCCATCAGAACTCCCGCCATCGTCGCCGCCGCTGCCACTACTCCCAAGCGATGGAGCACTGCTCTCAGCTCCAAAAGGTAAGAAGATGCTCTCTTTTCCCACACTTCTATTTAATGAGCCAAATGGGCAGTGACCACCAAGAGTGTCCAAGTTCGATTAGTTGTGATTTTCAGCTGAACAACGGACGAAGTTCACAGCTTTTGACAGAGAGTTGTTTCAACTTTGAATTTTTTTGGTACCTCAGTTATGAGTTTGCAGTTTTCGATCCATTGGGCATTGAATCAAATGAAGATTCTGGTTTAGCTGCTGCATGGGAAAGCTTTGTCTCCTTGTTGTCCCCAATATTTGAGGTGGGTTCCTCAAGTAATTCAAGAAAGGACAAGCCTTTACCTCGAGGAGTTGCAGGTTTGGTCAGATTACCATTGAAATTCTCCGTTGTGGGTGTTCTTCACTGTGAAAGCATGATTATTTTTTCATTTAATTGCAGCTGCAATTGAGGACAGTTCAATAGATTTTGGGGATTTCTTCAAGGGCCCATTGCCAGGGAAGTTCCTCAAGCTATTAGGTTTCTTAGCTCTATCCCGCCTTGGAATCTACATCCCACTTGGTGGTGTTAACAGGGAAGCTTTTGTGGGGAATTTAGATCAGAATAGCTTGTTGAGCACTCTGGATTCATTTTCTGGTGGAGGAATTGGTAGGCTTGGGATTTGCTCTCTTGGCATAGTTCCATTTATCAATGCACAGATTGTGTTTCAACTTCTTGCTCAAGTGTATCCCAAGTTGCAAGATCTTCAGAAGAGAGAAGGGGAAGCTGGACGGAAGAAGATTCTTCAGTATACTCGATATGTTTCAGTTGGATTTGCTATAGTACAGGTAACCCAAACAAAAGAGAAAACCAATGTGAATCTGAATGATAGGGAGGTGGTTTAGTACTATGGTAGTCAGTAGTAGTTCTGGAAAAGCTATCTTTCTTGCCCGATTTTGATACAATAGTAATGTATTTCGGGTATTATGTATTAGTAGAATGCATGCTATTTTCTAACAGTTCATCTTTCTTGTTGTCGGGATTTGATACAAAAATCATGTATTATGATTCTCTGATTGCAGGCAATTGGTCAAGTTTTCTTCCTTCGTCCCTACGTAAACGACTTTAGTTCAGAATGGGCTATATCATCCGTCACCTTACTAACGCTTGGCTCGGTTCTCACAACATACCTCGGAGAACGAATCTCAGATTTGAAGCTTGGCAATGGGACATCTCTCTTGATATTCACAAGCATCATCTCCTACTTGCCAGCTTCTTTCGGTAGGACTACGGCTGAGGCATTGCAGGATGGGAACTACATTGGTCTTGGCACCATTGTAGCCTCATTCTTACTGCTAGTCTTTGGCATTGTGTATGTTCAGGTAACCTGCTTTTGATAAAATCCTGATCTGCCTGGAATATGGATTGGAAAGTAATGATGATTGGTTTTCCAGGAAGCAGAGAGGAAGATCCCACTCAACTATGCCTCAAGGTATAGCAGCAGCAGTGGTGGTAGCCTGCAAAAATCTGCTTATCTTCCATTCAAGGTTTGTCCTCGGTCTGCATGATCGGTTTGACCTGACTCATCTTCTCGTATTTTTTTATTTATGTTCTTATGTATTGGTTTCATTAAATACAGGTTAATAGTTCAGGAGTGATGCCAATCATATTCTCTACGTCATCATTGGCTCTTCCGGGCACTCTAGCCCGGTTCACTGGAATATCTGTGCTAAAAAATGCCGCCTTGGCTTTGAACCCTGGAGGTAAGATCTTTATCTGGTAGCTATAGCCGGCAATATCTTGTCCGACCCGATCAATTGGTTAGTAACTCAAGTAACTCAAGTCATTGATCGCAGCCCACACAAACTGCAGTTCGATTAGTCCACTACCGGAACAATCTGTAATTTGATTGACCTATAATTTTGGTTGACCAGCACTCGAATACTCGATTGCCCAGTGATTTTCCCATCTAGTCCATGACCAATCTCATCTTTCTTTTCGTCCATTTGCAACATCAAAACCAAGTAAAATGAGAAACGAACTCTTTTGCAGGTTCATTCTATCTCCCTACAAACATTATGCTAATAGCCTTCTTCAACTACTACTACACATTCCTGCAATTGGACCCTGATGATGTGAGTGAACAATTGAAGCGCCAAGGTGCATCTATCCCATTGGTCCGCCCTGGTAAAAGCACTGCCGCCTTTCTGAAAACAGTAAGTTTCATCTTTAACAACTGAAATGGTGAAATTGATCCTTTTCTTCCTCGACTGTGTCCATTCCTCCGTCCTGTACATGTACATGACTGGAACTTTGGAGGTCTAAGACTCAGAACTATTGCATTGCTTTGCATCCATCTAGGTTCTGAGCAGAATTTCAGTTCTGGGTTCGGCTTTTCTGGCCGTCCTGGCAGCTGGGCCAGCTGTGGTTGAACAGATCACACACTTGACAGCATTCCGAGGATTCGCAGGGACCTCTGTGCTGATTCTCGTTGGTTGTGCCACAGACACTGCAAGGAAAGTTGAAGCTGAGATCATATCTCAGAAGTACAAGAACATCGAGTTTTACGATCTTGACAAGTATGGCAAATGAGATTTTGGAAGGAGAGGATGGAAGATCTATAGAGTTGTAATGCTATTCCAAGAGTACTACATTACACTTGAAAGTAGCTGTAGATATTGAATTGTACTTGTATGGAAATAGTGTATCATAATGTTATACGTTATAACGATCCAATTACAAGAGTACATCACTAACTACCAACTACCAATTGAACTATAAATCACGATGGAGTAAAGTTACAGTCAGACCACCTCGTTCTTTAACCATACAATTACAATTTGTTGATCGAAATGACATATTCACAGCCCTAACTAATCGATAATTTGCCACCACATGTGACCACTTCCCAACTGGCGGAATCGGTCACTTCATAGACTACCCTAGAGAAGAAGTAAACCCTAGAGAAGAAGCAAATGAGACTCCATGAATAGGGTTGTTGATGAAGTAAATGCATGTGGATAAATGTCTATTCATCAAGGGACAAAGGGGGATGGAGGGAAGTCAATTCACATTGTTCATACATGGATGACTCGTCAACCGATCTCTATTTATACATGGTGAGTTGGATGGAAGTGTCTCCATCACCTTTAAATTTCGGATTTGCACCAAGAAAGCAATGGCTGCCATTTTCTCTCTTTGTTTTTGTTTTGTTGGTCGATAACTCATTCTTCTATAGGCTATTAGCCAACTTTTCAAAAGAAGCATTCATGCAAAGAAATAAATAAAAAAAAGAGTTTCTCTCTGAGACAAATGGAAAGAGACTGATTGTTATTCCTGTTCGTGTTCTCACATGCTAACACGAGAAACCAGTTTCTCATTATTACCTTTTGATCTTCCTTTATCTTCACTATTATCAATTGAAATCCAAAAATCCTCTCTTTGCTTCTTTGACCTTGAGTGTAATTCGCTTTGAAGGTAAGATGTATATAGGAGACAAATATAGAACTCTCGTCAATCAAAGAATTTTGCATGATGCATACAATAATTACAATTACAAGTAAGAAATCGAACGACCCTACAAAATGCTCACAATTTACAAACTAACCCTAAGGAGCAACTCATATTCTTTTCACACATTCCGCGTATTTGCTAAGAGAGACATGCATGCATTCTTTGACTGATTTTAATAGTTTTTGTCATCTTCCCCTCTTTCTTTGTAGGACTATTTTGTGGCAGTTAGCCACATCTTTGGATGGTCCTAAATACTCTTTATATTAGCCACTTGCACACAAAAGTCTTCAAATCGTATCCATTCAATTTCTTACTTGTAAATTACGATTCTATACGTCATGATGGATCGTTGATAAACAACAGGTAACATAATCAATTTGTAGAGTTAGCTTACGATTGAGCAAATGATCCTCTTTGTAAAGAAGAGTTTTGTTTAATGTTTGTTTTATGTATTTTGTATGTGTCTTAGTCCTAAGCTATTTTTTTTCTAATTTGCTTAGGTCACTTCTCACTTTTTTGAATGAGACCACTAACCTAACCACTCCTCTCTTCCAATTATTAATAATTAAGTATATAGATTATTACTCTCTTTTTCCCCTTCTTCCTCTAATTTTCTGTTGAAAAAGGGGAATGTTTCGATTTGATTAAACACACATGATAATGGAGGGGGATTAGAGAGAATATGATTAATACAATTTAACTTATTTATCTTTTATATATTGAACTAATTATAATGTTTTCGTGTCCCTTTGAAGAGGACTAATGGACTATAAAGTATTTCAGTTGAACAACTTTCACCAACTCTTAGAATGTTGTGGGAGTAAATGGGCCACTAGCTAATAGTAATTGTTCCCTAATAATTCCTATTGGAGAAAAAAAATAGTGTTTAATTAATATCGTGTAAGAAAATATGATAGGCGATTCTGGTGATAAGTTATAAAGGTCACCGTTTTATATTCTCAAGTTCTATGTCACAGGCGAATAGGCAATCATCTTTAGGATGATTCTTTTATTGAACCATCAACAGACATATATACTTCAATGATTCACTCATATGATTCTCTTGAATTTAATAAGTATTCACATAGTTAACGGTAGTATCATTAGATATAAAAATCGAAATTCATTTATGAGTAGAAGATCATTATTTGACAATTCCTAAAAAATATGAAAAGCATGGAGTTAACTTTAAGCAAAGGTTAAGACATGGACATGGGTCCTCAAGTTTGGGTTATTGTTTAACTAATTGCTTGTGGAGGAGAATTATGGAAGAGGAGTAGGATTCTTTTTTTAAAATTTCATAAAGAGGTAGCCCCCAAATTAAATAAGGACACATGAACTTATGGGGTCAAGACACATAATAATGTACTTCTCCATTCAATTGGGGGTGTGGATTTTTTGTATAGCCATTAGTGCAACAATTTTGTCTATCTATATATCCTTTTTACAATTTTGTTTTGTCCACACAACAAACCACAATATTGATAGAAACACTTGTCCTTTCACACTCTGTATCTATCTACTAACAAATAATGCCAAGTCTTGTAGCTCTTCTCTCCCAATTTTGTGCATTAATGTTGGTCCTGCCCCTCATGTTTGAGACATGGACAAATTTATGTATAAATGTGGCCTTGGATCTTATCTTTAAAAAGGGCATATAATTGTATTGTTGGAAATATATGTTGTAGATGCTATCTATGAAATTTCGCTTCAACATTTTGTTATTATGATCTTCAATACCAAATGAAACTTGCAGAATTATACTACTTGGCTGGCTTTCTATCTAGATATCCAAATACTTTAGTCTGTTTTGAGTTACTATAGTTCAAATCCATAGAGTTTAAACGTTTTACCTTCTTTCACTAATATTTCTGACTCTACCACTAATCACGAGGGTGATCAATAACTACTTTACTTTGAACATCTTCAACATCCATATCTCAACTCAAAAGAATCCAATAGGGAGAGATAGAGAGAGATTTGATTTGGGGAGTTGGAACAAATTAACAAGAGAAGAAAGGAATTGGGGCCATTGGGTCACCAATTTGTCAGCATCTATCACCAAGCTATGTGCTAAGATCTTTTGTCACCATTTATTGATTAGATCGCCGGCCGGCGGCTGCCCTTTTGGAAGGGCCGCCGTTGGATCGATCTTCTTCCGACGGTGACAAACAAATTTCTGCCCACTTTTTTTCACGCACTCTCTTGTCTGATAATTTCATGCTAACTTCACATGAACACACATTGGTCGTAATTGATTTCATTCTCTCCTTTATCTCAGGACTCGGCAGGTTCAACTTTTCTTCCTTATAACTCCTCAAAGTTTGTGTGCCTAATAGCAATTAGCCACTTGTGGGTTCTCCCCTCAGCAAGGTGATGATGGAGTGCTTACTCAGGGTTCCCAAGTTATTGTCTCCATTCCATGAACCCAAGTTTGGCAAGTTCCCAAGGCTTCTCTCCATGTTTGATATCTATGATAGATGGGATCTCTTTTGAATACTTGATGATGTACTAGAGACATCTATTCATAATTTATCGGAGCAGCGTGTGATTGTTGATAGGATAGACGTTATGGTTCCGAAGTTTATATATTACGTATTAAGTTTACTATGTGCAGAACTTAGTAGCTTTTAAGCGAAAAAAAGTATACGAGAGTTTTCGTTGTTTCTAACTTCTCACCAACTGTCTGTTTGATTAGGGTGATCAACCGATTCAGCTAGATAAGTTCGAGTTTGGGACAATCAATAGTTTTATGAGGTGATGTTGAGAAACATATAGATGATAGTGCGAGGACCTCAATTCCAAGATAGATTCTTGTGTTTACTAACTTTTCAATGGGGTTGAAGGAGATGAACAAATATACTTTGACATGAATTCATGTGATAAATTGGAAATAAAAAAAGAATCATAAATAGAATCGACTCAAAAGGACATTTATATTGATTCTATTCAATACTGTTAGATTCCGTTTAGATATGATTTCTCTTTACTCTTAGAAGATTTACAAAACAGATTCGTAAACAAATCAAATTATATACTATGCACATAGTGAAGTGATCAAAGAGGCATATAGGACAATCTACTATACATATTATCCACATGTAAATTGCACATAGCCTTCATGGCTTATTGTCGGTATAGTGTCCTATATGCCTCTTTGCTTACTTCACTTGTGATAAGCTCCTGCTAAAGTTCACATAGAACACACTTTGGTGCCAATTGGCCTTGCCGTCTTGGACCCTTTACCTCTGTACTCGGCGCTAACTTTTTTGCTTAACTCCTCAAAGTTTGTGTACCTAATAGCAAATAGCCACTCGGGTTTATGGTGATACTATTAACATATTTGGAGTTATTTAGAATGTACGTGGTAACCGTTAGGATGTACGTCATAATTTTGAAATATATCCCATGTTTAACACTCCCATTGAAATTTTCGAATAAAAACTAACTCGTTAACTTTCTATTTGCATACACCCATCATCCCACCGTACCCCTCATCTAAATCAGTTGTTTAGGTTAACGGAAGTTAAGATTTGGTAGCTAATGCTAACGGACGAGGGGATTGTAACATTCTATCACTCAATACAAGATAGAGAGGTCAAGGATCTCAACAAAGAGAGCTAGGGGCAAAGAAATTGTGGTAATGAATAATTTGTATGATGATGATGTACATTACAACAACTGAAGAAACAGAGAAGCTAAAACGCCTCTAAATCTTTCAGCAGGGCAGTTTTCTCTGTCTAGTGTAGTAGTAGTTGTAGTAATAATCAATAGCAACATCTATGGAGCAAATACAATTTACTTGAACAACTTTTCCTATAAACAGATATCAAAATTTCTTTGGGAGAAAAATTACAAGGGCAATATGGTGGTAGGGGAACAATAGTGTGATGTAATGAAAGATCAAAAGCAAAGGCCCTATTCCCAGCTCTAGAAATTGTGTTCCAACCCCTTGGCCAAAAGATTTTCTGATCCTATTTACATTCTCTATGCCACAGAATCATAAAGATTGTACCTTTATCATTCATCGCCCGTCGACCATGACTCTCACACTACCCGGCAGCCAATCTCCAGGCCCCCGGCTGTCTGAATCCAGTATCCGGTTCAAGCCGAACAACCATTGATTGATCTGCTCCAAACCTCATCCTCAGTTGGCGCAAGCTCGGGACCAGGGCTTTCTCTGTCCATTCCTCCAAACCATCAAAACCTAAACACAACCCACCAGAGATTTTCTCGAGTGCGTCCACTTGAATCTCCAAGCTATTCCCTTCGCCAATGATTGACGAAGCTCGATCAGTGATCGAATTCGAGACATCCCTCCTGATCCCACTGAAATCCACCGGCTTGAACACTATACAATCATCAAACGAATCGAGTAGCTCTGAGGGTAGCTCTGATGCAGTTGGTGATGTTAGTACCTTGCTGCCCAAGTAATGATCATCCTCATGGTCAACTGTCACATCACTCAAGTCACAGTTGATGTCTGCAGCTTCATTCAAGTCGAACGACAGATCTTTTCTCACACACCGACGTTTAGCTGTCTTCCCACAGACTGAGAGCCTCAGCTGCCAGCCTCCATTTACAAGATTCGCAAGCTTCTTTTCGTCCATTGTAAACCCATTGGACAGGAACTTGAGATTCTCTGGCAGCCAGCTGGCAGTGAGTATGAAGATCACATTCCCCAAGCTGATTTCCCTGCCATGGGAGTCAGCAAGTCGACCCCTTTCCATTGCCCGTTTGATACTCCCCCTTACTAACATATCTGCCTCATCTATATCCTCAAGCACCACAACTGAAAACGGGTTCCTTCTTACTGCATCTACTATTCGATCCATTACCGTTTTACCACGAAAGTTTACCTCATCATTATCACGACGTGAGCCCAAACGGACTGTCACTGGGTTGGATTGACGAAGGACGTCCGAGAGAGCAACTGCCATCTTCTTCTTCCCGATTCGGTCTGGCCCTGTGAACAATAGCCAGATGTCGCCTTTTGAAGCATTGCCCCTTCGTTTTCCATTCCCTAATTTGCACTGTGTCATCACTGTCGCAACAGCTGATGCTGCATCTTGCTGCCACCATACTTTCTCCACGAGTCCCTTGAGAAGTTTCTTGAACGAATCAGCATCCAATTTGTTAAGCAGCTTACTAATCTGGAAATCATGCAAGTTCTTTGGTTCTGTCTCGGGAGCAGTAGCAGCAGCAACAGCAGTGCTCAAAAGGTCCTTGGTAATGGTTTCAGCAGGCACCTTAGGACGCCCAAGAACAAGTTCTGTTCTAACAGGACTTGTAGGTGGACTAAGTAGTTGTCTGGTGGAGTTTTGTTTAGGCAAGAGGTTGGTATTCAATTGCAAGGTAGTATTTCCTCCAACCAACCCGATCTTAGGAATACAAGGCACGAGGGTTCGATTAAGCAAGCTCGGCATTGGGACAGCAGCAGCACCACCAGGCTGAAGGTTCCTCGGTTGGTGATGCTGATGGAAGCCAGGGTGAATGCGCAAGCACGTATCAAGCCACTTTTTCTGCAGAACCTCTTGATCCTTAGTCTACATAGTAAGAAAATTATTTAACAAAAAAACAAATCAGTTCAATCTGCATAATTTACATTTTGACTATCATCAAAACACCTCATAAAGATTTGAAACAGAAATAATACATACCGCTGAAGCATCTTTAGTATTTGCCGCGTTCTTCAACCATGGTGGCAAAGACTGCTGCTGCTGAGTTGCTTCCAACTTAGCTTCTTCAGTTGAAGGTTTCTCAACGAGCTCCTTCGGTGCAACTTTCGCCAGCTCCTGCTCGTAGCTATGCTTGCACTGAGGGCAGAAATTCGCAGGCTTTTTCACAGTATCAAGATTATTATCAGACAGACGTTTCGGTGGAGCAATCGACACCATGGGAAACCCCTTCAATGGTGATGATGATGACAATGACTCCAACGAGTTGCCAAAGAATCCAGTATTCCCAATCCTGAAATCCCATACCAAAACAGAGAAAGTTCATTACTACAGGATATTCTCCTAAAAAAAATCCCTAAAGGAACAAACTTTTTTATGCCACCCACTAATCTAAACCATGAAAATGACACAGATTCTCGACTTTCCAACAGAACAGTTCGAGTTCGACAGTAAAGTGATGAACTTTTTACCTGGGGAACATTCCAGTGGGAGGAGCTCTGTTAGCAATTGGAACAGCTTGAAGATCCCAATCGTTCTCCATTGACGGATGGTAAACCTGGCATCTCAAGTAAGTCTCACAAGTAGCTGTACCAATCAACCAGATCTTTTCCCCACTCTGTCGAAACTTCGCCACCAGCTTCCCCATCTCGGCGACGGCGGTTTTGCCGGAATCCGACCCAATTTGCTGTTCCACCAGCCATTTCAAGTCACCCAAGTCGACAATCGCCCCGCCGGAACCCGAACTTGTGATCCGATTCGCCACCAACCCGGCAAGCTCACCAATCCTCGAGTTAATCAGGGATTTCTCGAGGAACTCCTTCTCCAAGTGAATCACTTGAAGATTCCTCAACAAACCCTCGTCTCCAATATCTTCACCTTCGAGTACTCTCTTGAGAACTTCTTTTACCACCAATTCGGGCTCCGTTTCCCCGACCAAAACCGGGTTCCGCTTTCTGCTTCGGAGCAGGATGTCCACGACCCGACCCGCCTCCTCGTTCCGACCCGACTGCCCTGCTCCCGCCGCCGTCCCCTGCAGCCTGGGATTCGCGTACAAATTCCGATTCCCCGTCACCGTGGGAACAGGGACGCGGAATCCCTGCCCGAATTGGCCGGTAGGTGGTTGTGGAGGCGGAGGGGAATTGAGAGACTGTTCAATTGTGGCTTTCACGGCCGGGCTCGAGAAGCTGGCCTCCCTCATGACCCGACTCACGCTCGGGTCGTCGAGAATCGAGATAATCAGCTGCTCCAGCTCGACTTTCACGGCGAGCAGCGGCTGCTGCTGCTGCTCGGGACACCCTCTTCGCTGATGCGCCTGGGCGCGCTTCAGCGCCGCCATTAGCGCGTTGGAAATCGGCGGGTCGGGATGCGACCCGGGACCCGAATTGGCTCCCGCCCCCGTCGGCAGCCGCTCGAGGGCGACGCTGAAGCAGAGCTCTAGAGCTCGGCACTGGAGCGGGTGGGAGGAATTGGGGTGGGATTTGATGCAAGCTTGCCGGAGGTAACCGGACGGAGAAGACAGGAGAGTGGCGGCGACATGGAGCGGCGTTGTCTGTCCGTGATTCCGCCGGCCGGCCTCCGCAATCGAGTGGTTCAAGACGGTGGCCGCCTCCGGCGTCAGGGTTTGCTGGATCGTGCTGAGCCCAGCTCTCATAGCTGACCAATTTTGCCCCGGAAATTTGACGCCTTTTTTGTGATTCCTCTGTTCGTCGGCGGTGGCGAGCAATGATTTAATAAAAATGGGTTGTACTGTTTTCTTCGATTTCTTGTTCCGGCGAGCTCAGAGAGACAGAAAGGAGTGGCCTTTGGCCAGAATGAATCGAGGGACAGAGAGAGAAATTGTGGAGCAGAGAAATGGAGGAAATGGCCTTTTTGAGTTTGGCTGCCTACAGGGGATCTATCTATCTTTTTTTCTTTATATATATTTACTTATCTATTATTATAATTATTTATCTACCTCAATTTTACAATATTTACTCTGTTTTTTTTAATGGGTATTTTTTTAAAAAAAAAAGAAAATTATAGGTAGGAAAGAAGTGAAGAATTCAACGGGAAAAGGACCCTCCTTTGCTTCACAAGAACCATCTCATAATTACCTTTTTTCCTCTTCTTCATCTTTTTATTTTTCCTTTTCATTTCGGTTATATTTTTGTGTTTGTCTTTGTCCAAGTTTGGATTAATAGCACACCCACCACCTTTCTTATTTTATGCTTGCTAGGTGGGCAAAATGAAAAAAAAAAAAACTTGTCATGTCATCAATTAGTTAATTCGATTTGATTCAAATATGTACAACCATCAATAGAGATTTAATTCGATGATATTATGATAGTCAAGTTGTAATTTCAAGTAGTTAGTATGAGTGTCTTGAACATATGGTTAGATATATTATTTACTGTTTGTAGATGCTTTTTTCCTTCTTCTTCCAAGTAACGATATAGGAGAAATAGAGTTAGAAACCTCTACCCGAAATCCTCCCAAAGGCACACATAGTGAAGCGGCCCAACAAAATCAAGAAAAGCTATATATACAATCATCATTGTCACATATTACAATTTCACTAACATCATGTTCACTTTATCATAATAAGTTCATAGCATTCATTCATCTCTCACATAATTTGAACTGGCTATTGAAACATTTTGCTCCCCCTCTCTAATATACAAAAGTCGTTATGCTCTAGTATTTTTATATCAAAACTGAACCATTACATCTCTTTTACACTACACAAATACATATATAATAAGCCATATTGAATTGTACTTCACCTAAACATGCTCAACTGTAAGTCTGTCGTAAAACTAGTATTGTCATTGCTCGAAATATCGAAGCACCACCACTTTGTTCGGTTGCGACTCCTAATGAAAGAAAACAAAATAAAACATGAACCAAATAATGTTAAACACACTAGATAATCAGTCCTTTTGGGTCTATCTATCATTGGTATCAAAGTATTCAAAAAAGTTACCCACATAGCTCCTTTTTTTTACTGTGGTTATAATTCAACAAACAACAATGAAAGGACTAAGGAGACAGACAGAGAGGAAGGGTGAAGAGAAAGGTGAAAGAGTAAAGACAGAATTTCTGGAAATTTGGTGTGGAGGGAATTATTTTACTTATTCAATGGAGATGATGAGATGGGAAGAGATAGATTCCCACTGCAAAGATTTCTGTAAAAAAATATGCTTTGTTGGGCAGAGAGTGAGCAATCTGCCTGCATGCCTTCTTCCTCCATTCCCTTTTTACCTTTTTGTGTGTTTTTTATGACTTGTAGTTTGTCATCATCCTCTCCCTTATTTTCCCTTCATTTATTCTTCTTACATTATTATTAGTTTATACACTTGTTAGTTATTATTAACTACTCATTCCCCAAAAAGGTTATTATTTCTCATTAATACATGTGGTAGTAGTGAGTGGGCTCAAGGTCTCACATACATGTAGAGTGTTTGTATAGTTAGAGTTGTATGGTATTTTGCATGATCTCGAAATTGACTGGGAGTTAGAGATTATGAAAGTTTTTTCTGTAGTTTGGCTCACTTACAATCGAAAGCTTGATTGCGGTTTCGAAAAACCTAGTAATCCATGCTATTTGACGATTGGAGAGATTAAACGACTTATGGCCCAATCCGGCTAGTCGCTAGTGCAGGTTAGAACATGCTTATCGAGAGGTCCACTTTGTTACCGACTGCTTTTCTACATTAGGCCACTCTCTACTTGTGGAAGAACACACTTTTGTACACCTTGTCACTCTCTTGGTTATTGATTGTTCCTTGATCAAATTAGGGTTGAGTCATCCCATTTTATCAGTAAATAAAGACTGAAACGCTCTTTAACAAAAATATTTTACTGCTCAATCATTCGATTGCACAACTTACCAAGATGAAACATAACCTCTAAAATTAACGATTAATGAAACCTCTCTTCTTAATACCAATGCATCCATCCTCTTGAAGTAATTGACATAAGTGAGTAATCGATTCCAGCTTTAATCTTGTGTCCTCATTAATTAGCACTCAATTATACTTTTTAGCATTAATTATGTGATCAAGAGCACATTGTGGATCCTTTACACACATCTTTTATATATATTAATTTTGTCACATTTCGATTATATTTTTGAACTGCTCTCTTGTCTTTATGTGCAGGAATGGGAGATAATGGGGTGAGGGCTGAAAAGGTGACACCTTTTTTCCCCTTATTATTATTTTGTGAGATATTATTATTATTATTATTATTATTATTATTTTAGGTCTTTAGTGTGATTGTAAAGCAAACCAATTTCCAGATTATATTCCCACGAATCTGTGACGACAGAAAATAATAAAATAAAACACGAGATTCATTCATTAGCAGGTAGAGTTCTTTTGTTTTCTTTGGTCCCTTAAAGTTAAGATTTGATTTGTTTAGATTATGAGGTTAATTAGTGACATTACATTGTCATCTCCCCCGTGGCAAAACACATCCATAGCTTAGTATGCTCATGCATTACTACTAACTTACATTTCACATATGTTTAACATTTGTATTTGGCCTATCATTAGTCCAACTCTACTCATTCGTGAATCTCAACTTATATAGACCTTAGAAAATGACGAACACATAAAAAACAAGACTAGAAGATCTGCGTATTTAATAGTGGCAAAGTCACGTTGATGGAAGGGAAGACTATATATAGGCCCCCAGCTCTCAAAACCATGTATTACTTGTAAATTTGTAATAAATTTGAGAGTGTAGTTTTTGGCCCCCCTCATGCAGATTTCTTGCTTCGCCACTCATGCTTAAGTAGTTTGGGAGTCAAATTGAAGGGCAAAACATAGACTCTCAACACACACACACATCTAGGACGTGCTTACAAAGAACAAACTTGATCCCACTTGTTGAGACTGACTACTTCACACAAACACAATCCGTATGGAGTATTTAGCCTCACGTCATTTTCTATTTCACTTAAAAATCAAGTCTTAATTACGTCATTTTTAATATCAATGAGTCGACTTGATCGGCAACAAATTAAGAAGAGTTATAGTCTTATAGAGAGCTAGATCATTTCACTATGTCCCTTGTAGATTTTACTCATGGGCTGAGATATCACACAAACGAAGTCTAAATCACCTCATTGTTTAGTCCTTTTAATCTCATGGAGAAAAACAATACTGACAACATATTGAATATTTGATTGAAAACTCATTATTACGAGGATGTGGTTGTTATCATGGCATAATATTACAGTGACCAGAATTACTAATTATCCCTATCATTATTTAATGACCCTCTTCTTAATTAACTCCAATTAATGATTGACTACCGTTTGCCATCTCGATCGACGAGGCTCCTCCACCACAGGCGGAAGCGCGTATCATCACGTGCCGCCGTGTGAAAGTTAGGGCCCTCCTACGACTAGGTGAAGCCGAAAGAGAATGGAAAGCCGGCAGAGTTGGAGGAAAGTGGGAGGTCGATCGAATATTATTATATTTGCTTACTAACATATAATATTAACAAACTGCTGGCCAAATAATAATTATTATATAACAATAGTTAATTAATAAGCACTTAACATTTCCTACCTTTTTGCTCTTGTCGTCATTTTATATTGTTTCTAGTTTTTTTACACGAATGTTAGTTAATTATTTTCATGATGTACATATTTGACTTTTAATTTTTACTATTAAGATAAATGATGAAGATTAATTACTAATCAAAGGCAAGTGATGTGTATATGAGCTGTGGGGAAAATGATGGGATTTTGTTAATTATTTGGGTAGCTGTTGAAGATTACTAATTCTTCCCCCCCTATCTTCCTCGATCTATAGGGCACACGTAATCGAAAAGGCAAAATGTGTCCTTGTCTTAAGCAATCATTTTGGGCAAAAGAATAGTTTATAGCAAGCTAGGCTATAGCTCATACAAGGAACCATTTGGGTGTGCAGTCGGTTGATCCAGGTAGGTGTTAGAGTGTGTTGACTTCGTCATATGACATGAAACGATGAGTTCAGATTAACGTTAGTTGTGTGCGTCTCTATTGATCGAGATTGTAGACTATGACCCGATGATATCTCATAATACACATCGATCGGTGCCTACACCTATCGGTAGTCTAGCAACATTACCACTTGGTATGCATGATGGTGCATGGAGCTAGCTATGATTTGAACAGATTCACTATTCGGTCTGTCCCTTGCTATTAGTATTGAAAACCCTTTTATCTTAATTGTGAGAACTGTCAAGTTTTTAGATGAACGTACACTTTCAGTCCACCGCGCTCATATGTTCCCTCTTGAATATCCATGAGATGATGATCCTCCAACAAGTTTCGTTCTACAGATTCCTTGTCATGGAGTTCATATATTGAAAATAGAAAAAAATGGATCAATATGGTAAAAATAAAAGATAAGAAGATTTATAGTTGGACTTATTCCAAAAACCCTCAATTTACCTGTAAACTTTCTTGATCGATAGTCTGTATACCATAATGCATGATGAAAAACTCTCCTCTGCGTGGATCGAGTTACTGGGATGAACTAACTGCTGAAAATTACCATATGAAATGCAACAACGAAGACACAAGCGAGAATTGGTCAATCTTGTTCACTATCAAAGCCTTACAACTAGTCTTGCGCATTAAACAACTACATGTGTATTCATTGCATATGTTGAGAAGTCTAGAGTCAAGTAACCACAATTTCGTCACAAAGAGAGCTAGGAAAGGGCTCCATTAAAATAACGAAGGAGAGGAAGGTCGGCAAAGCATAAATAAACAAAACAAAATTTTATATTGTGCAAGCAAAAGAATGGGTGGAAACTTCCCACCAAAACATATGTATATGTATAATTTTTTAGGGTTTCATTTGTCTTATTTGATTCAAGGGGAAAAAGTGCTTTATTGATC